TTTTTTTCATCGCAGTTACGATTAGCTGTATAATCAGGTTAAACTTAACCATGATTAATTGTAATCGGATTGCATTTAATCAAATTAATTAATAGATTAAAAAATCAATCGATTAGTGCCAACACACTCCTTGGTACCCACATAAGTTTGACTGGGAAATAATCAGGAGAACCGGGAAGAAAGATCAGGCGATGCTTGGCTATCAGAGCATATGTCTATCGCCTTGCTTGCGTCGCGCGATTGAGCAGGAAATTTCTTCCGGAGGGGATGTGAGCGAAGATGGAGCCTCTTGGTGCTGAAAGGATGAAGTCTAAGAATACCAGATTGTCCAAAGCATTAGTAATTTAAGCATTCCTGGCTTTATGTTTGACCACAGTCGTAGTGCAGCAGCCCTACCTATGATATCGATGAGCGCTATGTTGAGCATTACGTTAAGTGACATAGTGGGTGTGGTCCTATAGGCTGCACTTATTCCAACGATGGCGACCCGCTGTACCCACTCCAGCTTTCGGAACACGACAATTTTATCTGGTAAATAGATTTAAGTAGACGAGCCAGGCGATAGGGACCATCTCCTCCCCTTCACTATGTCTTCCCTGTTATGCTTACTCGAGAGCTTCCCATTGAGAATCAAGCCCAGATATCTGAACCTATCTCAAAGCGCCACGTGGGGCCTGCATTTGTGGGTTGGGCAGCTTGGGGTATCTTATACTTCCTAGTGAAACGAAATTTTGTTTTGTCTTACTAAGATTTACAGCAAGTCCATTGTTCGCAGACCACTTAGTCATCGAGTCAAAAACCCCTGGATCAGATCACAAAGAACATCAAGCAGTTTACTCTCACTAAACTTGTGGCGTCAACAGCTTAGGCAATCACATGACAGCTTTTACGCTCCCTTAGTGGGTTGTTTACAACCGCAGACCCAAATAAGAATGAGAGATAGCTATAATGTTTAACGTATGTTTTTTTTGTATACCATCTTAGGGAGACGACTTATCGAAGTCTTGCAAATAGGCATAGTTTAATCGAAGACATCTTCACTGACCGCCCCCCTTTTTCTTTTTAGCAAATTTTATTATATTCAAGGGTAGAAAATTTTGGGCAGGGGACAATTCTATGTAGACAAAATGAAGCTTAAGAAGTCAGCTTCTTGCTTAGCACATATATTTGCATCAATTCTTGCTACTACAACAATAATAAATATCTACATCCATATATTCCTCTCTACAGCTTTTGACATTTGTCATTTTATGCCACTGACAACATACGTAAGTGTGTATATGTTTTTGTCTCCACACTTCCCACAAATGATTCGAATCATTCTCGAACATTACTCATTCCACCCTACAAGGAGTGAAGAACTCATAGTAAGAGTAAAAATAGAAAATTGCCGGCAACAAAGCATCAGTTAAACATATTTACAACTAAATATTTAGTCTGCAGCAAATTCAAATTTCATCACTTCTTCACTTGCTCACTTGAGTGCTTTAGGCTTTCAGTCAGCTTGTCAAAACTGAAACTTTGAGACTTTCCAACTAACTCAGCGTCACACGGTACGTCTGCTTGCCGGTTTGTTTCTTCACCAGCATTCCGACTGGCGTTTTCTTTCTCGGGTGGCCAAATTTCTAAATGCGTTGGCATTTCCATGCTAATTTTTGGACACACACGCTCAAATTCACACACAATAATGCAACTGCATAAACTAATTTAGGTATATTTGAAAGTGTCACTATCTCTCTTACGCTCATGTGCTCATAAGCAGCCGACAGCAGTCACCTGACAATGCAATTGTGCTTTTCGTGTGTGCTTTGCACATGCAAAAAAATCTCAACGCCACTGATTATTCTACATATGTACATACTTGGCAGAACAACATGCAACTTTCTCTGCTGGCCCCGCTTTAACAAATACAACAACAGCTTGACTGCAACTATTGTGTGCCACTAAGCTAACAAACATCTGCACTCAGATTTGAGCAAAGCAGAGGGAACAACGTTGAGGCGCCTAGAAGTTTGCTACAGCTAAGGTACATACTGATTAATGCAAACGCCTAAATGCAGGCAATACATTTTCGCAAGTGCATTATGCTGGCATTTTAGTAGTAACTGCAGCGCTGCACTGCACAGCTGAGCGCTGGTCATTTAAGACAGAAAGAAGGATTAGGGGCGTAGAAATGGGTTGACTGTAAGAAAGGGTAAAACAACAGCTGCTTAGTGAAGCAGCACAGACTGAATGCTTAAGTTGCAGCTGCGGCGCAATTGTGCTGCTTTGGTCAGCTTTTTGCGTTCCTCTTTCCCACTGTCCTAACTTTTTGTTGACTTTTAATAAATGCAAGCAAATCTGGGAAAGACGTGTGTTGCACTTGCTGCTGCCTCGCGGCTATTCGATTGTTGAGTGCTAGCTGTTTGTTGCTGTTTTTAATTTTGATGTTTCTGCTGATTGCTGTGCTACTACTTCGTACTATTTAAGCCACTTTTGCATAAATATAAGCCAGTGAGACTTAAACTTGTATACAGTGGATCGTTTCAGGTCATTGGTGATGCAATTAGCAGGGGAAAAGGGCGAAGTTGTGTTCGCTCTTTCCTAAAAGAGAGAACATAAGAGAGCATTTGTAGATCGGCTACTAAACTATTGATGCAGATGACACACAGTTTTGGGCCGAGGAGCTAAAAAACTTAATATGCGCGAGAATAATTTCTGGAAGAGTGCAATAGGCTATTTTTTAGTCACCTCTTCAGATAGCCCAGCGGTTTTCAGCGTCCTCGCCGATTGTATAATAATTGTGGGCCTGGGAGCGATTCGAAGACTCAGTTAATATTCTTCTAAACAGAGCTGAAATGAGGTTGCTCCTTGGGTGCATAAGCTGTTATAGCCATCTACATTCTCATATAAATCAGGAAATCCGGCTTTGTCGGACGGGCTTTGACGATGGAACTGAGACTGTCCGACGTTGGTTAGACAAAGACTTATGATCAGTCGATCCCTTCAGTAGAAGAAAATCGCCAACTAAAACACTTTTAGCATTCATTAGGCAAGCTGACAGCATTCTTGCATGTATGTATTGGCCTTCTGGCTTAGGCGCTTCATCATCGGAATACAAAAGATCGTTCACCTCACAGAGTACCAGCTTCCGATGCACTCAAATTTTTAACTTACTAGTTAACTACCACTCTAATCACTTAAAACATGCAGATTTCTATTTTCCTAATTTTTTTTTTGTAAGTGCTTGCGCATAGAACTTCAATCTTTCTAAAATTTTTGTTATTGATTCCAGTACAGGTAACTACTGTGCACTTAGAAGCACCAGTAACGCCCACCTAGGTATGTGCGCCTGTTTGTATGCTACACTCACTCATCGAAGGACGGAAAGCACACACACGCACAAGATCTGCGCTTAGTGTCGCCCTTGCCAGCAGACATGTCAGCNTTGTTATTGATTCCAGTACAGGTAACTACTGTGCACTTAGAAGCACCAGTTACGCCCACCTAGGTATGTGCGCCTGTTTGTATGCTACACTCACTCATCGAAAGACAGAAAGCACACACACGCACAAGGTCTGCGCTTAGTGTCGCCCTTGCCAGCAGACATGTCAGTAGAAAGAGCAGCTGCTGCAGAGACTTCGAAGCAGGCGTTCGAGCTGTGCTGCTACTGCGATAGCCGCTTTTAAGCTTTACATGTTTTCTTGTTTCCGTATGTTATTATGTCAGTTGTTGTTGTTGTTGTTGTTGTTGTTGTTGTTGTTGCTGTTGTTGTTGTTGGCTTTGGTTGCGTCTGCTTGTCGTCGCCATCGTCGGCATCCTCAAATGAATCTCATTTGCATTTAAATTAGGAATGAAGCGTCAGAGTATGTGTTGGCTCTTGTTGTTGTTGTTGTTTTTGCTGCCGCCTGCAAAGGAAGTGCCCGGCAAGCGTTGGACTGGGATAAATGGGGAACATTTTAATGAAGAAAATGTAGAATTTTGCATAGTTGTATTATTGAGTGGCTGCATCTACACACATATGTTCATATGCATGTGTTGGCAAGAGTATATATATGTATGTGTACCTGATTTTGTGGCATTTTAATGGCCCAGCCTTACAGCATACCTTCCAGCAGCACAATTTGCTTGCCTATGTTGGTATTTGTGTGCGTTTATACGTATGCATACACACGCTTCCTCATATACGAACTCTAACGGCAGTGGCAGTGTTGCATTAATATGCTCAACCATTGTTGTTATTGTACAGACGACTTATTCTCAGCTATATATGTTGCTATTGCTGTTGCTGCTATTATTGCAATAAGTGTGGTCTTGCTTCTGGACAAGTTTGCTGTGGCATTTTGCATATTTACGAGCGCTGTCGACGCCAGTTGCGACAGTGCAGCACGAACACAAGCAAGCACATAACAGATTTCCCCATATTTTGTGCGCTTGTATGTATGTACATTAGACTGCATCACCAAAAAGAGTTGGGGGTTTTCCGCCAGGATTACAAAATTTTTTATATTTTAAGACTTCCGCCAAAATATTTCGGAAAAATATTGAGATTTACGTGAGCTGTACCGATTGGAAAATACCTCCAAAAAGGGAGTTTTTTCTATGAATAAAAACAGTTTCTTAAAGAGTTTTTTGGAAAAAAAAAGATTTGTTTACGAAAAATTTTAATAACTGCAAATTTTTTAAGCTTAAACTGTTTTGTCTTCGAATGTGATTTTTTGCAAAAAATACTATAAAAACTGTTTTTACTCACAAAAAAAAACTAAAATTTTAGACGTATTTTTAAATCGGTCCAGCTCAAGCAAATCCTAAAATTTNTAAGCTTAAACTGTTTTGTCTTCGAATGTGATTTTTTGCAAAAAATACTAAAAAAACTGTTTTTACTCACAAAAAAAAACTAAAATTTTAGACGTATTTTTAAATCGGTCCAGCTCACGCAAATCCTAAAATTTTTCCGAAATATTTCGGTGAAAGTCGTAAAATATATAGAGATTTTTTTTTTGTGTGGGGAGTGACGCAGTCTAATGTACATATGTATATGCGTTGCAGATGTCCTTGCAGCACAAATCCTCATATGAGCTAGAACACTGCACTGATCATGTTCAAGTTGCTGATAATCACAGAGTTTGGTTGCAGCAACCTGTGGTGTATATGTGTGTGTGAGTGCGTGCCATATTTGCAAGTGGTAGAGTGGTAGTAGAGTAGCCCAACTGGCAGCCGAATAAGTAGTCCACAATTTCATTCATCTCCAGTCTTTGCGCATTAGTTTGCCTTCGCCGATGGCCGAGTCACAAGGATTTGTTCGTGTGTGTGCGTGGCTTTGTGGCGAAGGTGGTGATTGCAATCACAACACATTCCATCTGTTCGTTCGACTGCAGTAGTTGCAGATGATAATTCTATATTCAGCATAATTAGATTGGTTATTTGCTTAGGATTTGCTTGGCTCTGAACCCGGTTTCTGCATAAGTATGTGAAGATTTCCACACAAATTTTTTGCAGGTTTATGAATGCAGCTTTGGCGTAGTTTTTGAATGCAGTCAAATAGTTTTTCTTTTTTCGTTTTTCTAAGACATTAAACTGGTATAACATACTCCCATGGAGGGCATAAATAGATTAAAAAATTTGGTTTAAAATGCTTTATTACTTGTGAAATAATTTGAACCCATTAATGGACTGCAGAGCGACACACGGAAGACTTTATTTTACTTTTGGCATACGTTAACGATAAGCATAATAAGTGTCTCAGCATTCATAGCTGTAAGGATATTCAGGGATCCGAATAAATTAATTCATCTTGAAAGGCAAGAAATGGGGGGCTCGTCTCATTGCTTCCAATGGTGGTAGGGATCCCCCAAGCTCTGAAAGCTATCGAAATTACTTCTGAGGAACATATTTAGCCCGAGAGCGATAACAGAAAATATCAGCTCTTCAAATAATATGAGATACAAATCAAAAAACAAAAAGCATGTTTATTTAAATAGACTAAAAAGTAAAGCCTACGATTTCCCCGAGTTTGCTTGAGAAACAACATCTCGCGAAGACCGCTTTCTCATAAGACCCGCGTGTATCGAAAACCTTTTTATACTCGCGGGTTTCTTGATGTTTAATTTGAGGGCTCGTGTTTAACTTAAGAGGAGATCACACGATTTGTACATTTGTACAGAATTGTACATTTTTCTTCGTTCTTGATACAAGTTTCTAGACAATACCACTCTGTGACTGCCGAAATGTAGAAATCTGTAAAAATGTAAAAATCGTGTGATCCCTGCTTTAGGGTATTTAAACCATCAAATGTTAAATTTTTTTCAAGCGTAATACTGGTCTCTCCCTAGAATTTATACGATGTACATGCTCTGTCAGGGAGGTCTGTATTGCCCACCCCTTAGGAAGCCGCTTGCAAATACGAGACTCCACTGTTCTCCTACCAACTTTACGAACCCTTCTACTTAAACCATCGCCTGCGAAACCTAAAAGTTGCCGTATTCATACTCCGGCGATGACGGTTAAACCCTTGAAAAGTTCTAAAGCCATTAACATTCGTCTTCTTACACAGAGCGAGTTGTATTCGCATAACAGCTTCTGGCTCTTTTGACGTAGAATACATCTTACCTTAAGGTATGGGGGCTATGTTCAAATGTTGTAGTTGTAATGTGGATCTGTTTCTATTTTTAGTAATCTATGTATGTCTATACATACATATGTACATACATATTATATATGTACATACATATATGAACACATGTATGCATAATACGCGAAGACTTTTCGAAGTGAAACAACATTTAGAAAAAGTCCAATCCAAGAATAAAAGTAAAGGTGAGGACGTACATAGATAAAGAAAAGGATAAAGGCCAAGGTAAAAATAAACACAAAAACAAAGTTGAGTAAAGATAAAGGCAAACATGAAGACCAAGGTAAATTTAAACACTTTACTTATATGTATAAGTGCAAAGGTGAAGGGGAATATGTATATGAAGAATATGATAAACATAAAAATAAAAACAAAGATAAATATAAAGAAAAAGATGCGGATGAGGATACCGATAAAAGTATAGATGAAGATAGAGGAAGAAAGATTAAAATAAAGGTAGTTGTAGAGAAAAGGATATAGATAAAGGCACAGAGACTCAATCTCGGAACTATTTCGGGATTTTAGGGATTCTCGGGACTTATCGATATAATCGATATTGTGTTGGTTTTTCTTAGTGTGTGATTTCGTTTTTGACTTGGATATGCTCTTAACCATACCACGTATTCTACGTTTAAATATAGCGGCTGTATCTCCGATACAGCCTGCAGACCAAGACGAAGGCGCTGGACTGTTCCTTTTTTCATTTGTGGAAAGATGGCCTCTTCTCATTCACATGGCTGTATCTAAGTGCCCTCTGCCATGAGGAGTTGCTGCAAGTTGAGACTAGCCCTTTCTTATTCAAGGAATAGTTCTCTTAGAATCAGCCGGACTGCGAAAGGGCAACGTCCGCCTTCTTGTTGCCGGTTATTTTCCGGTACGCCGGCACCCAAACCAAGTGAATAAAAGACTGCTCAGCCCGCTCGTTTAGAGATCTGTGACAGTCGGCTACGGTTTTTGAATTGCAGATAACCGAGTCCAGGGCTTTGAGTGCGAAGAACGCCTGTATTGCAGAAACTTCAGCATCAAAGACACTGCAGTGGTTGGGTACGCGAAATGATTTTCCCAGCCAAAACAAGGGCGAGAAGATCTCATCTTCTGCCCTGTTCTACAGTTCTGAACCAACAGCCTTGAAGAGGGGTGTTCCATTTCGGTGATTAATATTTTTTAAAATTGCGTTGTGGACTTTCTAAGTGTACCTCCATCTGGGTAATTTCCGCAGCTTCAATGCTACGTACCCCGCGAATTGTTTTCCAACAATTTCTGAAGCCAAAATGTTGAACAGGACTCACAATGCCTCCATTGTAGTTGTGCATAGAGCCCAACAAATGCCGAGCAATGCAGTTCTTGCACCTCTTGAAGTGCTTGTGTTGTGGTTCTCTTGTTGAGACTTGGCCACCAGACCAAGACTCTATGGATCAAAAGAGGAATAGCCAATTCATGAGGTTAGGGTGTTGTTGCTTTCTTAATATCCTCCTTTACATTTTGTGCCCAGTTCAACGTTTTGTTCAATGATACGCTTAGGTATTTTAGAGATAGCAAACTTTATCCTTGAATCATCAGTGTGAATTACATAACGAGGCACGACAGGTGCAGTTGCTTATCATCAGTCTATCCAGTGAATAAGATGAACCCCACAAGGAAGTAAGGACCATTCACAAGCAATAACTTGGTAACGAAAAATGTAAGCGTTTCAATCGCAGATGGCTATGATCGGTTAGGTACTCAAGAACAACTTGATGTTGGCTTTAATGAGCAATTGTTTGTACATTCTAGCCACGCTATATGAATGCGCAACTCACCTAAAAATCTAAGACTATCTTTTTCAAGACTTCCCTTGGGAAAACTTTCTTCAAAGGCCTTAAGTTGGCAACATTTGGGATGCTAAGTATCTTTTAGTTAATGGAAAACTAATTATTTTTCGACCATAACCAATTTCTTATTCACTTAAAGCACACACGTCAAGGTAATGTGAACTTAAACACATCTCTATAAACCTATTCATAAGTAAATTAGCTTGAGGGAGAATTCGAACCGGATGTATGTATTTCGTATGAGCTTAAATCATTTCAGATATATTTAGCAGAA